AAAAAACGGTAACCTGGTTGCCGAGTTCACGAAGTGAAGTGGCTGTTTTACAACGTCGTTGCCAAGCGGCGAAAACCCAATCCCGATGGCAAACACTGATGGGGGGGCTTGTTTTACAACGTCGTTGCCAAGCGACGAAAACCCAACCCCGATGGCAAACACCGGGAGGGGGAACGGGGGGGGAGATGTGGCAGCGACGATTGCTTTGACGTACCAGCCATGCCGCAGTACAGTCTGTGTCGTCACCACTAGCAAAAGTTTCTTGTTTAGCCCGAGATTCGTTTCTTGCTTTCTCTCGGTGGCGTGATGTACCCCAGCATCGACTGCGTAGTTCGGTTGTACGAATCCTAACGGAGCAAGCACCTGTTGTTGCAGGAACGTTTTTCATTTTTTCGAAATCCGCGACTGTTAACAGCGGTGGTGCATCATACGACGTAATGATTGTCGTAGGCTCTGCCCACAATATCCAGGTTAGACTAAGGTGAGTGGCTGACCCATCTTTTGCTTCGATTTTCGGCTTCGCTGACTTCAGAACGGGCCCGGAGATAAGAAACGCCAAAATCTGGTCGAGCCTCAATTTATTGTTTTGGGCAGGACCAGCCCAAGTCGACCAGTTTCTTAAAACGGATTTCTTGTTCCGTTGGGCTGTCACATCCTGCTGATTCGCTTATTTTCTTCTTTCTGGCGAAGAAAACAACACACCCAGCCGTAATGCAGCATTTAACCGACAGCTCGGTGTGCCGAACATGGTTTGTGGCAGTGCATAGAGCAGTACAGCAGCAGTGGGAGTGGAGCAGTCCACGGCGGGGCGGGGGCGCGGGGGACGCCGCGAAGATATTCACTCTCTTCCCCTACCAATAAGTTGCATGAGCTAGGTATGGGGTGGGAGCATGGCAGCAGCAGCAGCAATGGGACGTTTCTTGTTGGACACGTGCCACTTAGCTACCCCTTGTTTCTTATGTGTTGGGGGTATCGCACGAGAATGTTTCATATTGGGACGTTGCTTGCGTTGTGGCCGATATTGAGAAGGGTTTCTTGGCCCTTTTTTCTAATCCTTGTAAACGTTTGGGCTTTTCTTTCTTGAAATAATTTTTCTCAATTGCGGGGCCGTTCTGTGGTCAAATGGTTTTATGTATATCATACATCTTTTGAGGCATGTTTTACTGTTTCATCTTGTCGCCTTTACTGGGTGCGTGCCGTTCCATTCTGTGTGTGGATTTTACCCCCCTCGCCCTTGCCCCCAGTTGACCAGTCTCGCAACCGTTCTCCGCTCGCTGCTGTTGCTGTGTCTTTTCTCTGTTTTTTGTCTGCATTTTATTAGAACCACCTGTGGGAGCTGTTCGCCAGGCACACCACCATGATGCTCATCATCCTGTACCTTGTGTACTCACAGGTTTCCACCGTGGTGAGTAGTATGGACTACAGCATCGTGCACAGAGATTGCAAGCTGCTGTATCCCCCCACGCACAAGATTGTGGCGTTCTATTGTTGTGGATTCAAGATTGTCGGAACACCAGCCGCTTTGTCACTACGCTGCTTTTTTGGTGTCATGCAGAGCCAGCCCGACATGCTGTCGTTTCGTTAGGGTCGGCCTGTCCTATGCCGTACCGTAACCGTTCCATGCAGTACGGCCCTATTCCGTATCGTAGCCCTAACCGTTCCATGTCGCGCGTTCCCATATCGTATCATAACCCTAGCTGTTTCATGCCGTCCGTTCCCATACCGTGTCAATACCCAAATGGTTCCATGCCGCACGGTAAGGCACATTAACGTAGCTAGCCCGTTTCTTCAGCGCTCCATATCAATCATTCATACGGTCCGAAACCGAGCAACACTCTAACCCATGCCATCTCGTCCCGTGGTGGGCCCGGTTTACCGCCCCCCTGTTTTGCGACATGCCCTGTGCGGCGACCACAAAATCACGTTTCACCAATGTTTTTCGATTGATACCGTAGCCGCAAAACCGGCAGTGGCGATCTACGCTGAATAGTAAACGTCTTCCCACCTGACTAATAGGGGTCGACATAGCCGGCCCACTTACTGCTGCCATACATGCAAGTAAGGCAACACCAACAATACACTCTACTATGTGGTGGCACGTGCGTTGCGTACAACAGGTGTTCCAAGCGTTTGCTTGCGAAGACTTCCCCGAGATCGGCAAGAGCTTCCTTCGGGCGGACTTCCGGATAGAGTGCGACACGCCCAAGCACGACAACTACAAGATTTACGCCGCCGTCATGATCTGCATCTGTGAGCTATTAGTATTATGGTTGATCCCCCATAAGCTCACTGGTTTGGGGGGGTGGAGCGCGGCTTCCAATAAACGTGAAAATGAAGCAAATGGGAATTTCATGATACGTCGTAATTGGTCGTGGAGGCGATCGTGCCACACATGGCCTCGTTTGCCCGGTGCGGGTTTTCCTAGCTCCAATGCGATTATGTCGTTTGGTATGTGACTTCCCAACGCCGAGCTTGGTCTGATGCCGCTGTCGCACACTGATGTTCATCGGTCTGCTCGTTGTTTGTTTACCCCCCGCTACCACGCATTCACGCAACGCGGAGCACCCAAGATCCTCTCGGTATTCCAGCAGCCTTCTGGTACTTCCTCAGGAGGCAGAGGTCGCGCATCAATCCGCCCACAGACAAGGGGCTGAAGGACCAACGAGGGCGCAAGCATGTTGTGGTGCGTGTGTGTGCGTGACTTGTCTCGTAAGAGGGGTGGATTGACGGTTATACTTCATCACTTGAGAATTCCGTGAGAACGTTCTATTCATTTTACGCGTGGACGACTGAGGGCTCAGTATTCCGTTTTTTCGGGCTCTCACAGAGGAGTATTTCCTCACTTCCTTCGATTAAATTTCGTTCCACACACCTTCTCGGCGTTTGATAATCTCTCGCCCTGTCACTGTCTCCGTCTGTCTGTCTGTCTTTCTGTCTGCGTCTCTCTCTCTCTCTCCATCTCTCTCTCTTCATCTCTCTGTCTCTCCCTCTCATACCCAACTCTCACATCTCCCAGCTCATTTTTTATTTCATGCTCACAGGCTGGATTGTAATCCCACACACCGGACTCTTTTCAGGTAGACTGGATGCTTCTGCTTCTTTCCCGATCACAACTGGACTGTCGTTCTGTCCGTTCGCTCGCTGTCTGTCTGGAACTCACGCACTCCTTTGCGGCTCTTTCCGTTACACGAGATCCATCGCTCTGTTGCTTCGCTCTTTGTCTGGATCTCACGCACTCCTTTTCGATCACACCAGATCTCTGCTGGCTGTTTCGTCTCACACCCGCGGCCACCAAGTATGGACGCGCCAGGGATTTTGTCCGCTTTTTCCGCCGGCGTTCGCCGATTCGCGCTTTTCTGTCATCTTCAAGATTCTCCGCCTGCGTCCTCCGATTCTCCGCTTTTTTTCGACCTCGGCAACTTGCGCAGCTTGCTCTCTTCTTCGCACACGCGCTCGCACCCCCTCCTCTCACTTCGCCGACAGCACCTTCCACTGCCTACCAGCACCCTTCGAGTATAGAGCCCGTACGTGTTCTGTTTCGGCCAGGAGCTCTCCATTCTTCAAGGGCCACATTTCCAGCGGGCTTTCTCCGGACAGCATTCATTGCGGATTCCCGGACACTGACGGACGACCTTTTGCTTTCCGTTCCTGATTGCTTTCTGATTATCACGCTTTCTCAGCTGTATAATAACACGCTGTGCTTTCTAAAGCAGTACACAGTAGTAGTTCTCGTTTTTTCTCTCTCTGGGCTCGATCTCTCTCGTTTTTTTTCCTTTCTCTCTCTATCTTCATATCTTCTCTCTCTCCCTTTCTCTCTCTGTGCATGTCTCTCTGTTATCTCTCCGATTCTTCTTTTCGGGGAATCTTTGCAATTCGTTCCTGTTGCCACAGCTTTTCGGTACTCCCCTTTCCTTTCATGCCCCTCGCAGGCACTCCCTCTACAGCCGCCCTACGCCCACATGTAGCTTCTTCGTGTTCCGTTGGGGTGTATACACAACGACACGCTGTTCTTTCCAACAGAACAATAAAGAGCAGCGTAGTGCTTTCTCAATACAATCTTGTTCCAATACTTGCGTGGCTCCCTGTCTCTGTTTTGTGCGTTTTTTTTCAGTTTGGGTCCATCCAATATCTCCGAGCAGAGAGAGGTTCTTCCGAGGAAACACAGGCAATGTTTTCCGATCTCTATTGAGCGGATTGCCCGGTCGTTCCGGCTTGCCGATCACACGACGTCTGTCGCTCTGTCCTCCCCTACACACACGTTTATTTGCGGCTCTCTGTCTGTCTGGATCTAAGCTGACAGATCTGCGCTGAGATGGCTCCATTTCGGGCCTTCTCGGGCTCCTACAGGGCCCCATGTTCTCATTTCCATCTGTTGCAGATCTTTGGAGCTCGAGGTTGTTTTCTGCTCATCATTTCTCTCTCATGGTTTCTCAATTTGCGTCTGGCTCGTTCATCACATGCGGCTCGGTCCCACGGGACCTTTCGCCCTTTCACACACGTCATGTATTTCGTGCCAGTCTCTCTCTCCCTTCTCATTACCAATCTGTACGCCGGTTTATTGCTCTGTCGCTTCGCTCCCTCCTCACCAAATAACGCAGCGGAGGCACTGCCCGCGAATGCCCGTTGCGGAATGTTTTGGGATCGTAAATCTCGTAGATGTCTGGATCTCACGCACTCCTCCTGTCTTGGCGATCACACGAGATCTCTGCTGTCTCTCTTTTCTCACACCCTGCATCATCAAGTATGCACTGCTGTACGGGCCTGTCACGGATTTCTGCAAGATTCTCCGCCTGCTCTCTCCGATTCTCCGTTTTCCCGACCTCAGCAACTTGGGCTCGCACCCCCCATCCTCTGACTCCGCCGACAGCACCCTCCACTGCCTACCAACACCCTTCATCTACGTGTATATATATGTCCTCACGAAACATCTTCAACGCCTCTCCTGCTGCCAACCAAGCGATATTATTTTTGTGTTTCGGCCAGAAGAAGCTATCCATTCTTCACGCGCCACCTTTCCAGCGGGCCACTCTCCGGCCAACATTCCGAATTTTCGGCCGCTTGGCAGCTCGCCATTTCTCCAATCAAAATCTAACTTGGATTTCGATTGGGCTTTTTCGGGATGTTATTCCGTTTCGGTGTTTTGTCGATCGCACGCTCGCTACACACAGCGCACAGACACGTAGCCGCGTAGTACACACTAAGTCTCGCTCGCTCTGTAGCTTGTCTCTGTCTCCCTCGCTATCTGTTTGTTGCCTGTTTGCTTGTCTGTCTCTTTCTCTCTCTCTGTCTCCCTTCCTCTCTCGCTCTCTGTCTCTCTGTCTCCTCAGCTTACACATTCTCACACAGAAATCCAATCCCTCTGAGTAGAGGCCACATTTTTTTTACGTTCCGGATTTCCTTCGGATAATTATACTCTCTGAGCTGTACAATAGAACACGCTGTGCCCTCTAGAGCACACAGTAGTAAGTCGTCTTCGCTTTGTCTCTCTCTGGTGTCGGTGTCTCTCGTTCTCCTTCTTGCTCTCTCTCCCCCCCCCTATCTCCCTGTCTCTCTCGCTCTCCTTGCTTTCTCTCTCTCCCCCCCCTCTCTCTGTCTATGGCTCTCTACAATCCCTCCGTTTCCGGGGATCTTTCCCATTCGCTCCTCCTGTTGTCACAGCTTTTCGGTGTTCTCCTCTCTCCTTCCTTCGTGCCGCCCCGTGGAGACGCCCTTCCTTCGTGTTCCGTTGGGGTGTATACACGATGACACGCTGTTGTTCTTTCCAACAGAACCGTAACATACAGGATCGTGCTTTCTCAATAAATGCCTGCGTGTTCCAATACATGCGTGGCTGCCTGTGTAAACTCTATTGTTGTGTGCAATTTTTTTCACTTTGGATCCGTCCAATATGATCTCCAAGCAGAGGTTCTTCCAAGCAAACAAATGCAGCCAAGTATTCACTACATAGTCTATGCTTATAATTCCGATATCTTTGAGATAGACTGGCGAGATGGCCCGCCGGTCCTTCTGGCTTTCCGATCACACGACGTCTGTCGCTCTGTCCTTCGCTGCACACATGTTTTTTGCGGCTCTCCGCTCACACGAGGCACTAGGTCTGAGCCTCGGTCGCTTCCCTCTCTGTCTGTCTGGATCTCCGTTGAGAGGGCTCCCTTTCGGGTCTTCTCGGACCCTCTCACAGCAGCCCATTTCCTCGTTTCCATCTGTTCCGGACCTTTGGAGCTCGGCCGTTGTTTTCTTTCGTTCACCGTTTCTCTCTCACGTGTCATCGTTGCGTTTGACGCGTTCATCACACCCGGCTCGGTCGCACGGAACCTTTCTCCCTTGCACACACGTCACATTATTCGTGCCGCCAGTCTCTCTCCCCTCTTACACAACGATAGCTGTCTGTCTCTCCCTCTCACCTGTAGCGTTTTTTTATCGTCCAGATTCATTTCCCGTTTTCATTGTTTGACTGCGCCTCTCACAGGGCTTTAGGCCAGTCGCTCTCTCCCTTTCGGGCAGCCAGTAGTCTGCTCTCTGGCACGTCGGACTTCCAAATGTTTCAAAATACATTCGTTCGTCTCTCTGGGAACTCGCATGTACGCGCCGAACATGCATATCTACAAAAAGTTCATCTCTCTCCGGGATCTTTTCAGGGATGGCTTCGTTTGTCTCCGTTTCTCGCGTGCACGCAATCAACCCGAATATTCATGGGGACGTACTTCACGGAAATCTCACAGCCACGGCATGCCATAAACATCGTGCATCAAACACCAAGTAACATTCGTCTTGCGGTACGCTTCTCTCAGCGTGGCGGCGTAAGCCGCCAACAAGCCTCGTATAAATATACGCTGGAAGCACCGACAGAATTTGAGTGAAACGATGAGAAACTTCTGTGTTCGTTGCACGCCCGTACGCAGTATTCATGGTGATTTTTTTTTTCTCGGATGAAAGGATGCGAAATTACCACCACAACACATACTCCACACGTCGGTTGTGTGCCAAGGTTTGGCTCGAACTACTGCAGTGAAGTGACAACACGGCTGCGGTAAATCAGACAAGACAAGAGCAGGAAAGGTGTATTTGTGCGTGACACGTTTGCCAGGTTGTGTATGAAACAGACTTGGGTTTGTAAATGAACCAAGAGAATGGCACGACGGTTGTTGTGCGCGGCACGTTAGCCACGTTGCTTCCTGAAGCAGATTTTCGGTAAATGGACCAAGAATACTGTTGGTTGCGTGCCTGCTTGCTTGATCAATTCCCTGGCTGCTCGGCGAATCGCCTGATTGCTTTATGAAGTAGATTTCTGTTGTACGCAGCTGGCACGTATACACCGAAGCGCCCATTCGACACCCTCTGTCTAGCGGAGGCAACATTGCCTGGCATATCAGCATGCACTAGGCAGCTTGTCGCGAGAGGTTGCGTACCCCCTCATCAGTGCAGCTAACGTTGTTGACGTCGAAATCAAAGCAGTGGATACTTGTGGTCAGCGCTGACTAGTCTAGGCTAATGGCTTGGCTTCCGTCCGGCCTTTGAAGTGCTACAACTGCTGATAAACCCACCTCCCCAACTTTTCGTTTTGGTAGGAGGAGAAGATGAATCAGAGGAGGACGGACCGAGCAATTGCGCCGACTTCTTTCCTGTGGAACGCCTACTACCCGAACCGATACTACTACGAGGTATGTTCTGTGGCCACCCCAGCAATAACAGTGTTCTACCCCGAGAAAACGTCAAGCGGTACTGGTCCCTGTACAAGGTCGAGTTAGAACGGCCGGTCGCCCTGTTCAAGGCCGGTGAAAAGGTGTGACATAGATGGAATCGTTCGAATTGTCTCATCCTCATTGTCCGACCACAGTTAGGGGTGTTAAAGCGGCGGAATTTGGGGCCAAAAAAACGTCCGGTCCATTCGGCAAAATTTGAGGGGGGCACGCGGATTCGATTCTTTTTTTGGTTCTTGAGAATCCCGCTGTTAATACTGAATAAACTATACATGAAGTCAATTTGTTTGTACAAGTAGCTCTGCGTCCACACAGCAGCATGGCTCTTCATGCGTTACACAAACCTGGACACAGGTCCAATAGAGGTGACTGTAGGATAGGTTTTCCCTTAAGGAAAAGGGCGGACGAACAAAAAAACATGTTTTTTTTGGGCTATTTGCTCCACGCCCAAGGCGACCTTTGCTCCATTCGTGAAAGCGATTCTACAGCCCTCTACCTGGGGTTTACAGCTATACCAAACAACAAACCGCATCCGAATCGCATCAGCCAACCACGAGATCTACATGTCTGAAAACTGTCCCTCCAGTGGCGCTGCAGCGCCCACACCAGCAGACCCTCCCAAAAAAAAAAATCGAGGTCCGCGCCGTTCGGCAGCAGGAGGCGCGCTGCCCGAAAGCTGAATCAAAACAAAAAGAAGTTTGAAGAGAGGACGGGGCAG